GTATATTTGCTCTTACGCATTGCGCAGGTCGATAATCTCAAAACTGTACCGCGCCTTGACCACATGTCCATCAGGATCAGCATTGGTATAGATTATGTCGGAGCCATCATGCGGATGGAACGCCGCCTCCTGCTTGCAGCTCTTGATAACATCCATGCCGGACGGGTCGGTCAGCCGGAAGACTCCGTAGCGCGGGTCATACTTCGGGGAGCATACAATGGCAATAGCCTCAGGCATAAACTGCTGATATGAAAAGTGCGTATGCAAGTCGAGAGAGCTCATAAAGCAGGTTTGCGACGGATGTGTGTGGATCCAGCCCAGTGTCAACAGTTCTAGCTGCATCTGCGTCACAACCAGCTCCTCCTCGTTCTCGGTTGTGCATGTGTCAGATGTAGCCTTTTGCTTCGGAATGATGAGCGTAGTTACTACCAGTGTCTCTTGTCCAGGGACGACCTTGCCGCAGAGCACGCCGCACGTCTCGAGGTTCTGCTGAGTGTTGGGCTCGGCGATGCGGATGAACTCCTCAAAGATATCCTCGGGAATCTGCATCGGACGCATGCGCTCGCCAGCTTCGGTTAGGGCGTATTCATCGGGGGAGATTACGCACTGAGGAAGTGCAGTCGGCGACATCTGTGCCAAGTCTCCCAGCGGCACGATGGTGTTTGTCTCGGTGGCCAGGCCCGAAAAGTCATCGCAGTACTCACGCGGCTTCGGCGGCAACGCTGGTGCCGACGAAGGCAACGGTGTGTGGCCTCCGCTGACAGGTGAGGGACTAAATGTCGGGTCATACAGATTGGCGTGGCCAGGTGGTGGTGGCGAAAATTCAATCCCCGGCTGCACGGACGCCATTGACGTATGCTCGGGTATGGTGATCATGCCTGGGTTTGCAGCCGACGCGCGGCGTGGCCGGGCAGGGATTGGCGGCGGCGTCTGCTGCGCGTGTGGGGTTGAGTTCTGCAGGTGTCACCTCCCTTGGCGGCACCGGCGGCAGCGGTAAGTCGATCTGGGGTGGGGGTGGCCTGCTGGCAGCGGCAGCAGCAGAGGATGCCTCCAGCGATGGATATTCTATCAGCGTCTCTGTCCTGACATTCGGATCTTTAGTATAGCTGCTGGACGATACCCGCCGTGTGTTCATAGCGTTATCGCTGATTCTGACCCCCTTCAGTGCGTCGGCCACATTGTATCCATATTTGGCTTCATCTTCGTATCGATCGAGGTGGATCTTGGGTCCCCCGTCGCCATATATATCCGCAGTGCTATCCTTGCGTGGGTACTCTTGGATGCCTGGTAAAGGCGCGCGCTTTGGACTGTCCTCTTTTGGCAGCTTGAATGTTGTCACCGATACCGACATCTTCTCCATTTGCTTCATACGCTCCTGGTATACCTCGTACCGCCTCTGCAACGTGGGCTTCAGCCTTTCCAGAATCGACAGCACCGTGATACAGCGCTTGTTGACCTCTTCCTTCTGCTTTGCATACTTTGGCAGGCGGTACTCGTGGTGCGTGGGCAGGAATTTGAGTACAATGGTCGAGTATCGCATGTAGTAGACGTAGGCCAGCTGCAAGTCCTGCTCGATAAGCTGGTCGTCGGCCTTGGCAAGCAAGTTTTCCAGCGACTTGTAGATGGACTTTATCGAGCGCTTCGGGTCGATGTTGACCTGGGCCGCTTGCACCAGCTGGTACGTCGGTAGTAACACGCTCGTCGGGTCGCCAGGTGAAATTCGATTTGATAGATTCCGACATTTGGGAGCAAGTGAGGAGAGTTGAGCAGGTTGAATTGCAAGCGTCGAGGCAAGAGTACAAAAGGGTGGGGAAAAGCTTGGCTCGCTTGTTGAGGTTTTGGCTTTCTCCCAGTACAGCCTGCCTATTTTTATTTAAGGTGAAATCTTGGCACCCCACACAGGCAGGCAGACAATTGGCCCTGCCCCTCACGCAGCGTACTCTGCACATGCAGCGATGGCTGCATGGGAGCTGATAGCAAAGGCACTGTGAGAGCGGCTGTCAGTTTCGGCGTGCAAAAGAACATTCGGCAGGGCACATACGTGAGTCCATTTCATGATACACATGTCGTTTCTGAAGATAGAGTTAAAAGGTGGTGCCCTCGGGCGGCTGGGGCAGTTTCCGGTTCGTCGGCTGGGCCATTTCGCGGCGGAGCTCAGTCAGGACGGTCTCAAGCGTATAGCTGCGCTTCCAGTGGCCCAGGCAGCCAATGCGCTTCAAATCAACCTCGCCGTTGGTCGCGTTCACGCCAGGCAAGTTGATCTTGGAAAGGAACACAACCTTTGGCGGCTGGTTCGGGTAGTTCTCGTCACAGAACAGCGTCAGCGAGTAGATGCGGTTCTCATGCGCAGACTACAGTAAATTTGTTTGTTAGTTATATGCATCGTGCGGCTATGCCAGCAACCGCAGCTGTGCGTCGAATGCTTACATGGGCGGGCCGAGAATGGTGCCATTCCAATGCTTCAGGTCAATGTCGTCGGGATCTGCCAGGCCATAGCTGCACGCCCCATCTCCGATGCCCTTCTCGCCCTTGTCGGAGCTCTTCTAGCAGACGGAAGCTTCTGGGAACTACCAATTTGGTCACAGTAAAGACGCCCAGCGGTTAGTCACCTTCTGATGCTATTGCCATTGCAATGGTCGTCTGCCCATTTGGCCTGCAAGTTGCCAATGCTGTCGCAGGGTTGGGCCGTACCGTGAGCCATTGTATTCTGTAATCAAGCCAAGCTGTGTAATGTGCAAAATAATTACGTGTAGAGTAGAACACAAGTTTGCGGTGTAAGTATTTGGGCTGATGGCAACCATCGTCATCGCCTACGGCCAGCACTGTATATCCCGTGAGCCAGTGATCTGAGGAGTCAATTTGGCACGGGTATTTGATTATCGCTGATCCGGAGGATTTGGCAAGTAGAAAAGGTGGCTGTGGGGCGAGGGTTCCAAAAAGTGACTGTTACGTTGTGTGGCGTAGCAGCACTGCGTACAGTGCGTATTCCACAGATGACTCATATAAAGCAGACGTAGCGCATCAGACAGCCAGTGAGGCATACTCTTGCTTTTCTCATCCCTAGCACTCCAATACTTGACACTCTAACCACCAGGATGACAGTCAGTGGCTCTATTTCTCCGCTCAGCTACTATCGTCTATCAAGGCGCAGGAGATCCTGCTTGAGACCCTCGACGTGGCAGAGTTTGGTATCTCGGTTGATAGCATACTCTTTTTCGAAAACAAGGCCAATGACCCAGACTTCATGTCTAAAGAGGCGATTAACCGCAGCCTGTGCAGAAATCATTGCCGACCACTACCCCATCCTAGTGGGTCGCCCCAAGCTTACTGACGACCAGAGGTGCGCTATCAGCGTTGACCCTGACAACCTTAACATGCCCAGTGTCGAGGACGTATACGTCGACCAGCCCGCCGACAGGTTCCTGATTACGCTGAAGAAGGAAAAGGACCTCCAGTTTTTCAACTTGAAAAAGCTTGTCGATACCATCGGGATGGACAAGTTCCCAAGTCAACCTTCCACAAGGACCACTCCAGCGTTGTCCTGCGCTTGCTCCGGTTCAAAGACAACAGCTATGTGGGATTCTCGCTTGTGTCTCCCACACGCCGTGTTTGAGGCATCGTTGTGCAGTGTTCCAGGTAATCTGTCTGCATATGTGCGCAACGGTGGCTACTGCAAGCTGGCCGACCCTCCCATTAATGACCGCAAAGTCATTGCGGACCATTTCTCTACGGTCACACCGGAGCCGCTCAGTATCGTCAAGCACTTCAAGGAGAGTGTTCCGGACCTGCCCATGACATTCCCAAAAACGTGATCCCGCTGCTGATGCAGTCGCCTGATGTGCCGCCCTACGAGCAGCAGCACCTGCTTCACATCTCAGCCGAGAATTTGGAGCGCATGCGCCAAGATATCGATCCGTCGCAGTCAACCAACAACATCTTGACGTCGCTGCTGGTCAAGTGTATCCCCGCGGCCAATGCCGAGCATTTCGGCAGCCCGCCGCTCAACGTATATATAATGATGGCGTACGATATACGTGACCGCTCGACGATCCCACGGGCATATGCTGGCAACGCAACAGGCCCTATGACGCTACATATTGCTGGCGAGAAGGTCATGGGCAGCTCGACCAAGCAGCTGGCGCAGCACATCAAGGAGGCCGCTGTGGAGGTGCAGAGCGGACACTGCAAGACGCTCATTGACATCGTCGAGAATGATATCGGCGTCCTGTACAAGAGCTCATGTACCTTGCGAACACGCCGAATACTGCATATATAGGCACGTCCAACCTGCGCTATATGCCATATTCCAGCATTGACTTTGGTACCGGCGGACCGGATATCCTTTCGTTTTTCTACATCAACCGCGAGGGGTTAATCCGCATCAATCCCAACAGACAGGATGGCGGCATCGACCTGTTCCTCAACTACGCCGATGCCAACTTTGACAAGCTCCAGACCATGGAAGAGCTGATGGAGTATGCTGATGTTGTTTTCTGAGGGCTCTCCTGCCATGCCCACACACCTGCCACAGACTTTTTTATTTTATTTTCATCACTAAAAAAACCAGAGTATTCTGAAGCCATTTTTCTAGCCGCCACAAGTAAAAACCCACTTTTTCCACAGCTCTTTTCTTGACTCTCAATTCACCCACTTTCCCCTCTCTTTAAATATTATTACCTCTACTCTCACCAACGCATTGCACACGCACCACACATTACATATAGCCTGGCAGCCATGGATAGCGACGAAGGTACGCGAGCCAGCCTGGACCTGCTGTTCCGTGGGCAGAATAAACTTGTTTCTAAGCTTCAATTCATATCGGTGTAGTTGCAATTTGTCGCGTATGTCGGAGCGAAGCGACAGAGACGGAGCCGCTGTTTCACCGTGCAAGTGCTCGGGCAGCATAAAATTCGTCCACCAGCAATGGTGAGTGTCAGCTAGACGTCAATTTTGGTTTTCTGGCCGGCGCCGTAGCGATGGAAGCCATGCTATGTCCTTTAGCTCCAGCACCACGGTCTAACATCCCTCCCTCCTTAATCACACATGTAGTCTCGAAGAGTGGTTGACACATAGCAACAAAAAGTAAGTGCACTTGGAATCGGTCGCTCTCACGGGGTTTATTAAGCATGCCAGTGCATCAGCTGCCTGTTCTGCAGTACTGCCAATTCTTGCAGCGTTTGACGCCTTGATTCAAACCACCGCGTTTCTGGCATTGGGGTCTACAAACTAAACCCTTTCTAACCGCATGTAGATACTGCGAGCTATGTGGCACGAGTATGCGTTCACGCCGCTCTACGACCCAAACATGCCGGAGAGCATTCCAAAACGCATCATCGTGCGCCAGATGCTTGCAAACCTCTTGGGCGTGCTGGGGACTGGGCTCAGATGGCTAGCGGTCGTCAACCTGTGGCTTGTGGTGCTGCCGTATATTGTGTACTGGTTGACGCGCTTCTACTTTTGGAGCGGTCAGTCCTTTGTTCCCAACGACTCGGTTGCCGCGACTGTCGCTCTTTACAGCGGCGACACTGATGCCACCAATGCAACCATGCAGGCCAATTCAGCCGGGGCAGTGATCACAGCTGGCTCGCGCTTTGTTGACCATGCGTCGTGGCGCGAGTGGTATTGGCAGTCCGCGACAACAACACCATCGGCGAGATTACATCGTATACGGGTGTTCTAGAGGGTGCCACCAACACCGCGCTGCTGCTGTACTCTTTAACCAGCATTGTTGTCAAGGTATGGACTCGGCTAGCAAAGCGCATTCTGGGTATCTCTATCTCTGAAGAGAACATCCATGCTCTGGTTGAAGTCATTGTTGAGGGGCTGGCCAAGTGCGTCGAGGGGGGGTCATCACAGTGTTTACGGTGCTGGCGTTTTTGGCGCTTTTCCTGCTGCGTGACTGGATTGTAATCAACATGCCTGCTCCTGACGACCTGGTCGACCAAGTGGAGCAGCAGATCAACAACAACAACATTGCCATTGCGCAGGACCGCCAGCGTTTGGAGCGGCTGGTCGAGGAGCGCCTTGCCAATGCGGATAACCGTCTGGAAGTTCAGGGACAGCCGCTGATTGCTGAAAATCCGCAGCACCGGCCGTTGTTTGAGCGAAGGCCATTGGATGTCCCAGTGCTCGATGACTTGCCGCCGAATGAGCGGCCCATTGGACAGCAGCCCGAGAGCAGCCAGCTATTCAGCACCATGAGGAGGAGCAACATACCGGGTGGGCTTACGCAGAGGAGGCATTTGTTGCCGATGTAGACGGCCTAGCAGACGGGTCTGACAACGATGATATGCCGGATATCCGGTTGGCTCTACTGACAAGCACTCGGTAGACGATGTCAGCGATCAGGAGGACGTCAGCCGACCCATCTCCGCTTGTGGGGATCATTCACCTCTATTGTCAGTAGGTGGTGTCGATACCGGCAAGGGCAAGGGCAAGGGCAAGGAGCGCGCACCAAACAGTCGTCGGCTTCTGATGATGCATGGTCGTTTAT